GATTAGTCGACTAATCGAATAAATAATCTGTGATTAATCGATTATAAAAATAATCGTTTGTGGCAGCTCTACTTGTGACGTCCACGGCCTACCCCAGTTACCACTACTGTGCATGTGTGTCAAGGACAGAAAGGTAGACGTGGCAGTGGATTATTAAAATTAGTCATCGATTAATCGATTATTAAATTAGTCATCGATTAATCGTTGCAACCCTATTGAATGCTGTCTCAAGTTTTAAAGGGTATCCACAGTACTCCTGATTTCGCACCACTACCCATAAATCATAGCGTAAGCAGGTTCATATTCCTGCTTGGCTGTTTATTACGAGGATACACCATCGCTGTTTCAAAGCTTTTTTACATCAAAATTTGGCGTAAATGGCCACATATCAGAGGTGTATTTACTGTAAGGATGTTTTTAAAAGCTTTAAGGACAATACTATACTGTGTACTTGTGTGGTGGTAGTAATAGTTATTGTTTTTGAGGTGAACTGGTCAATTTATCATAATATATTGATTTTAGGCCATATCGCCCAGCCTTATAAGGCTGCTGCTGTGATCATCTTTGGTTTTTTACTATAAAAACTTTGGCACTAAAAGCAGGAAAATGACATAAATGATAATGAAGCACCTCCATCTGATAAAACATAAATATTACTTTAAAAAACAACGTGTTACTGTGTTCAGTACACGGTTTAAAATATCCTTTGTATGAGCAAAGACTGGGCGTCATCAAATAAGGCCTACAGACTCTGGTTAGAGCAGTTTATGAAGCTTTGAAGTAAAATAATAAAGACTAGTTTAATTATTAGTCAGTCTGTGTTAAAATGCTTACATTTAAGAGTAAATTAGCGCAAAGACGCGTCGATTTTATTTGATAAAAACTTCGAATAAGCCTCGACTAAACATGACAACAAAATCCTTGAGCTAAGCTATAAAACAGGCTCATGTTGAGTTTACTGTGAAGTTAAATGTTGTAAACATAAAAACACGGGATGTGAAGGCCGTGATTTAACGACCCGCTCAGGTCTACAGCACCACGGGCCCACGGCACGACACGGAACAAAATGGCAGCCACAAAAACACACACTTACTGGGATATGCTTACTCATTGAAGAATGTAGCTCAATCATACAGCCGGTCCCCAGAAAACAGGTAGAGATATGAGTGTTTTCCCACCATACAGCGCTGTTTGTCAGGGCCGAACCGAGCTCCGCTCATCACATCTGCCAGGAGGGAACTGTTCCCGTGTCCTGCCCAATTCAGTTCTCCCTGAAAATCTGTTCCCGTGTCGGGAGCGCGCACTGCAGCCAGACAGGCGGATGTGTATGGAAAGCATAAAGCGCCACAAATCACCACTACTTAAAAAAATGCCGTTTTATAAATCAGAATGCCGTAAACACCGCCAGAACGCCGTCCTTTTTGCCATTTGTAAAACGCCGTTAAAAAAACATGTTTTCTGTGGTCAGTGAACGCCTCTTATAACGCCGTCAAAAACATCGTTTTATACACCGCTTTCTCCACATCTATAACGCCATAAAAAACAGTTTTATTAAAGTTTATCTTACACCCCCGTGAAAAGATAACTCCGCCCCGAGGCGAAATTTGAAAAATGCATCAAAGTGGGTAGAGGAGGGGGAGTGGGTGGGGGAGGGGGAGTGGTCAAGGGTTCGACACACAGGCTGTGTCCAAAACGGCAGGACGGGTCCTCCGAAGGTCGAATTTGTCGGACGTCCAAAACCGAAGACTCCTCCGATGCGTCCGACAAATACGTCCTTCCTTTTCCCCGAATCGAAGGACAGGTCCGAT